GCAGCAGGAAGGATTCAAGGGAACCTTCCCTGACGCGGTATAGCTCCCCTTTTTGCCCACAATGTATCAGGCCAGTGTGGTATGAGAAGCCCATCATGAATGGTCTGTCAGGGGACCCACCAGGTTATGACTAGTTTTTTTCTATGCTATGAAACTCCTTTATTTAAAAAAAAAAAGTTCATTTAGTAAGGAGAGTGAGGTGTGCTGCCTCACAGGGAAATTTAGGATGAAAACTTGGACCACCCTGTACTCAGTGACTGTAGGAGGAGATAAACTGAGTCCTTTAGCCAGTTAGCTTCTTGTATGGTGGAGCTGTGAAGAAATTGACTAAATGAGAATCTCTCATCTCTCTATTCCTATTGGGAAACTTACTGGTGTCCAGAATTCTGACTTGAACTCACTGTCCAACTTGCAAGGGGCCATTAGTGCTCCTCAGTTTGGTCTCAGTGTTCACTTCCCTTAGTGTGTGGTCCTCAGTGGATTGTGGTAGAATGCACTGCTTTCTTGGACTGTCTTGAGTATATTTTGTTTTTCAGAGAGAGCAAGAGATACGGATGGGCCAGATGGCTATGGGAGGTAAGGACTTAAAATAGGTAAATAGTTCTGATTTCCTTTTTTGTCTGGTCGCTGATGAACTATCAGCTTCTCCTATCTAGTCCATATTTAAAGGGCTGAGAGTTTATTAACATTGCTTTTATTGGGGGCGGTGGGGTGACATATCTTAACCCTGTCTGTCCCTGTATTGATCATGCTACTCTGCTTTAGGTGCTATGGGCATAAACAACAGAGGTGCCATGCCCCCTGCTCCTGTGCCAGCTGGTACCCCAGCTCCTCCAGGACCTGCAACTATGATGCCGGATGGAACCTTGGGATTGGTAATAAACTGCAGGGCCTCATAGTAACACTAAATGATTAGTAGGAGGAGAAAGGGCTTTGCCTTTCCAGCACGTAGGTCTACTTTGATTTTACTACATACATTAGTCATTTGGGCTACCGGTATCCATGAAATGTGACCTTGAGGTCAATTTTTTTTTTTTGGCTATTTATGATTGGACTCAGAGCCTCACACATTCTAGGCAAGTGCTCTACCACTGTGCCACATGCCTAGTCCTGAGGGTCCACTCCCCCCCCCCTTTTTTTTTAACCTGGAGCAAATTCAATGTCAAATTATACTTCTATCTGACAGTTAAGGCAACTGCCTCTGTCTGACTGGCCAGTCTGATTGACTGTTTAGTTATTACCTTGGGTATACAGGTTGTTTTTTTTGGAGTGAAGTCAAAAGCTAGGCATTACCACAAATTACGTGCAAATCCAAAGGCTTCATGGCTCATACGGTTCAGAGGTTTGGGTTCTAGTATTAAATGGATAGTGCCAAGTGCTAGAGAGTTGATGGGATGCCCTTGTCCAGTTACCTAGCTCAAGAAAAAGGACTTGGGGAGGGGGCGGGGGGAAGGGGGAAGAAATGACCCAAGCACATAGGAATAAAAGAAATAGAAAAGAAAAAGAAAAAGGACTTGGATAGAACTTAATCCAACCTAGGTATTTAGTATGTGATACTACTTAGTCTATAGTTAGGAATATAGATTAAAAGTTTGGTGATTGGGTATGCCTATAATTTCCTCCTTACCCACTAGAGTTCTAACTAGAGTTGGTCACTCATCCCTAGCATTAGGAGCCTTGAGTAGCTGAGTGCAAATGGCTTCCTGTGGAGAGACTATAGAGGGGTGGGAACCTTAGGACAAAGATTGTGTTGTAATGTTACTGTCTTTTTCTCTTTTAAGACCCCACCAACCACTGAACGCTTTGGCCAAGCTGCTACAATGGAAGGAATTGGGGCAATTGGTGGAACTCCTCCTGCATTCAACCGTGCAGCTCCTGGAGCTGAATTTGCTCCAAACAAACGTCGCCGATACTAATAAAGTTGCAGTGACTAGTTTCCCAAAACCCTTAAAAGAAGGACCCTTTTTGGACTAGCCAGAATTCTACCCTGGAAAAGTGTTAGGGGATTCCTCCCAATAGATAGATCTTCCCTGCCTGTGCTACTCTAGGGAATATACTTAGAGGCAGAGGGCAAGGGAGGGGTGGTATTTAACAAATCAGTTCTGTGTGGTATATTGTTAGCAGTTCTGTGTGGTGCATTCCTGAAGTCTCAAATGTGATTGTTGAGGGCCTGGGGAACCATAGCAAATTGGATCCATCTAGAGCCCCATTAATCCTGACCATTCCATTTTGTGTCCATCATGTTTTATTTGCTTTCTCATTCTTACATCCCTCAACCCCACAGACACTGCCACATATACCACAAAAACCAAACATCCCCCAATGACCTAGCCCCATTCCTCCATTTGCTCCCAGGTGAGAATTCAGGCAAATATCCACAGAGGTCACAGATTGCATACATAACGGTTATGTTATATCCCATATATTACCCCTTCATGTCCTAAGGAAGACATTTTCTCTTAGAGATTTTCATTTTAGTATATCTTAAATAATCTTGTGTTACCTTGCCTCCATCTTTTTCTTGGGTGAGGACAACTCAAGAATGATCCTTTTGTGTCTCTGATGTTGTTCTTCACAGCTTTTCTTGATAGGCCTACTACAATCTTGGGAACAGGGTTGCTGTATACTGAAGGTCTGACAGTAGCTCTTAGCCTTGCCTATCTTAGTAGTTAAATGCTGTGCTTTTTATTGGTATATGTTTGATTTGTCCCTGATACCTTAAATTTGGAGTTTTTCTGAGAAATGGAGCAGTAATGCAGCATCAACTTATTAAAATACATTTTAAGCCTTTTAATTTTCTGTGCTGTTTTTGAAGGGGAAGGGAGGGAGGGGAGTATCTTGGGAGATGAGCAGTAGGCTCTATAAGGGTAATCCCTTTGACATTGAAGGCATCATCTAGGCAAACATGGGGAGGAGATGGGGTGAGGTGCAAGATGAAGTAGGTAGCAAGGATCGGTGCCATTGGCAGTACAGTGGAAGTAATGACAATAGGAAAGCTTCTCTGAGAAGAAAATGGGTTGGAGAAATTGAGCTGAGGGGTGGTCTCAATTGGTATTTGTTTCTGAACAGCTGTTGGTATGTCAGAGGCTTGGAATTGGCAGCATCTAAAACTGTCTCAGCAGTGGTTAGCTGACCTCACCCAAGTTCCAAGCGCTACTCTGCTTGATCCTTTTTTCCTGAGCCTCAAAGCTAAAGTGATCCAGAGCTCTTTCCTATTGGCTGAGAAGACCAATTGAAGTTCCCTTGTCCATGTTAGGAGGTGTACGCCTCCCGAACTAAAGATAGAAACAGCTGGCCTTTCCAGGCAGCTAAAAACCTCCAGACCAAGAGGTGTTCCCCACTCGGCAGTCAGACTCCTTGAAATACCCTTTTGGTAAATTGCCTCCATGTCTCTACTCTGCCATAACAAAGGCTGTGGGCAACACTTTGACCCCAATACCAACCTTCCTGGTGAGTAACTAATTGTAACCTGGCCAGGAGCTCTTGGGTGGGCGTTAGGGGGAAAATCTTTTGTGTACTTGGTGTAATTTTAATTTGACTGATCATCAACCTTTGCTGATTTATTCTTGTACATTATATGGAAAGAAACCATAAACTTGAACCTAGAGAAAAAGTAAGAAGTGATACACAGTTATCTTTCCTTCCTTAATCTTCTACTGGTGTCCACAGATTCCTGTTGCTATCACCCTGGGGCCCCAATCTTCCATGATGCACTTAAGGTGAGGAGTAGGTCTAGTGATGGGGGATAGCAAGACCATTTCCCAAAGGAAATAACACCCAGGAATCTTAAGCTGACCTGGGTCTCTTGTTATCAGGGTTGGTCCTGCTGCCGAAAGCGAACTGTAGATTTCTCTGAGTTCTTAAACATCAAGGTAAACCCTTTACTTCCCTTGTATTCTACCCTGATAGAAGGGTTCTATTTCTAATCCTTATCTCCTTATCTGTACTAGGGCTGTACTATGGGACCACACTGTGCTGAGAAGCTTCCTGAGGCCCCTCAGTCTGAGGGCCCTGCTACAAGTTCACTTCAGGAGCAAAAACCTCTGAATACAATTCCAAAGTCAGCAGAGACCTTGCGCCGAGAGAGGCCTAAGTAAAGAGGAGGAAGCCCTTGAGTCTTTCCTATATTCATGGAGCTTTCTAGGAGTGATAAATCATTAAACTTTGGGAACTAGGGCTCAGAGATTTGAGGAGGGTCAGGTATCAGGGCAGGATGACATACTCTGTGCCTTAGGGCAAATTTGTCTCTGGAAATGTCCTGTTCTCTAAGGTGGAATGAGAAAGATGGGCTGGATACCTTGAATCTATGGAGTAAAATAGCCCCTCACAAATACATAGTGTATAACATTAGTGGGATTGTTAAGATTGACTGGATTTCTTTTCTTTTCAGCGTGTGTGTGTGTGTGTGTGTGTGAGAAACAGTCCCTTTATGTAGCCCAGGGTAGCCAAGAATTCGAGATCCTCCTGCCTGTCTCCTCAGTGTTGGGATTATAGGTGTGCAACACCATGCCGGCTAAGATTGAGTTGATTTTTTATTAATTTCTGGAAGAGAGATTGAAGATAGATCTTACATAAAGAAAAGGAAGTAGTATCAGCAGCTAGGAGGCTACAGAGAATGAATTTTGTGAGCATAATATGAGCAACAAGTACATAATTAGAGGAAGATGAAATGATGCAGTTCTGCAGAGAAATGGTTACATTTTAAGCAACTGAGTAGATGGACAAGAGAAGGGAGGAGGATTTCCCCAGGATTAAGGTATTTGAGATGTCCCAGAAATGAAAATTGGCAATGAGGTTACTATCCCATTTCTCTATTAGACTTCTTTGACTCCATTACCATGGGTGGGAGTGCTGGAGCTGGCAACCGTGATTAATGGATCAGAACTAAATGACCTGCCTATAACCCTTAGGTCAGAGTTGCCTCCAAAGCTGCTACCACTAAATATATCTCAAGCCCTGGAAATGGCATTGGAACAGAAAGAATTAGACCAGGAACCTGGGGCAGGTAGGTGGATCTTTAGTAGGACAGGCCTCAGACTGGCAATTGGTGGGGGTTAGTGGATAGGTTCCTGACTGTTTCCCTTGCCCAGGACTTGACAGTAGTCTGATCCGGACTGGTTCCAGCTGCCAGAACCCAGGATGTGATGCTGTAAGTGAAAATTTTGTGGGGCACAAGCATGTGGTACACGTGGTGCAGAGATACTACACCTGAGGGATGCCTGGGTATAGACATGAATTTGAGTGAGGTACACCTTTTTTTTTTTTTTGGTGGTACTGGGGTTTGAACTTAGGGCCTCATGCTTGCTACACAGGCACTCTGCCACTAGAGTCATACCATAGCCCCATGGAGTACACCTTTGAATAACCTGATTCTTTTCCTAATTCTTCTTTATCCTTCTTAGGTTTACCAAGGCCCTGAGAGTGATACAAATCCATGTACTTATCACCCAGGAGCACCTCGATTCCATGAGGGGTGAGGAAGGGGACTGGGTGGTCTGTGAGGCATATTTCTTCCAATATTGATAAGGAGTAAAGGATTGTAGGGAGAGAATTAAGTTGACTTATCTTCCTACCTCAGGATGAAGTCTTGGAGCTGTTGTGGCATCCAGACCTTGGATTTTGGAGCATTCCTGGCACAGCCAGGATGCAGAGTTGGTAGACATGACTGGGGGAAGCAGGTAAGCCCCAGCTTTCCCAAACTCTTGATTAGAACCCAATTCTAGAGAAAAACTCTCCTCCCTGTACCTTGTAGCTAAGCTATCTTTTTTAGTGTGAACCAGATAAGATTCTGTCCCTTATCTCTCTATAGCCCAGAGGCTTTGATACATGAAACAGTGTTAATCTCTTGAGCGCCAGTCGCTTATGCCTATAATCCTAACTACTTGGGAAGCTGAGATTGGTAGGATCATGGTTTGAGGCCAACTTGGGCAGATAGTTTGCAAGACCTCCATCTCAAATAACCAGAGCAGGACTGGAGATGTGGCTCAAGCGGTAGAGTGCCTGCTTTGCAAGCAGGTTTGACTGAGTTCAAACCCCAGTACCACCAAAAAAAAAAAATCTCTCAAATAATCAGAGCAAAATGGACTGGAGGTGTGGTTCAAGCGTTAGAGCTCCTACTTTGCTAGCACAAAGCCCTGAGTTCAAACCCCAGTACCACAAAACAAAAACAAAAAAGCAGTGTTAACCTCTCTGAGACTCTGTGGGTCTTCTCCACATACCGCATGAGAACTCCTCGTGGTTTAAGAGTTGATTCTTACCATACACATTTGGCATCTTCTCTTTAGTTACCAGCATCTTGCCGCCATGATTGGCACCAGACAGATTCCTTAGTAGTGGTGACTGTATATGGCCAAATTCCACTTCCTGCGTTCAACTGGGTGAAGGCCAGTCAAACTGAGGTGAGGAATGATTTGAGGTAGGATGGGAGGCTCGTGAATTGGATGATGCTACAATCTTACAGGCAGAGATGCTGTATGCAGATAACCTATAGGCTCCATAATCCCCTGAGAGGAAGGGAGAGCTATTAGGTCAGCGTTGTCTGGCTGGCCTACAGATCATATCTCTGGCCTGGTTCTCTGTAGTAATGACTTATTCTGACCTTCTGGGATTGTTACTACCCTTGTAATTCTTTTCTCTCAGCTTCATGTCCATGTTGTCTTTGATGGTAACCGTGTGTTCCAAGCACAGATGAAGCTCTGGGGGGTAAGTGAAGAGAAGGGGGCAGAGGGCAGAGGGCAGGGAGGGAGATGGGGTAAAAGAAGGGCCAGACTAGAGTGAATGAATGGAGGGTGTTCTGATGGAAAGAATGGTAGTGGGAAAGTGGAGGTTTCCTCTTCATTTGCTTTCATATTCCTTCTTTCTTCCTCTCCTCTTCTTCCTTCCTTTCCCCCTCCTCCCTCTTCTCTCTTCTCTTTCTCCCCCTTAAAATTTTTTTCTATCATTCATAATTACTCCATCCCAATCCCAATCCCTTTGATTTCCTCATTCTGTCTTCTGTGTTCCTCTGTCTCCCTCCTTCTCAGGTCATAAACGTGGAGCAGAGCTCTGTTTCCTTGATGCCATCTCGGGTTGAAATCTCCCTGGTCAAGGCTGACCCAGGATCTTGGGCCCAGCTGGAGCACCCTAATGCACTAGCTGAGAAGGCTAGGGCAGGGGTTGTGTTAGAGATGGATGAGGAAGAATCTGAGGATTCAGATGATGATCTGAGCTGGACAGAGGAGGAGGAAGAGGAGGAAGCAATGGGGGAATAATGACAAACAGTTGAGTGTCTAGATAGGATTCAGTTGACTCCCTTAGAATCTCAGAGACCAGGATATGGTTGACCATGTGTCTTTAAACAGGAGGAGGTTAAAGGAGGGGAGAACAAAATTGTCCAAACCATGCTGTTTTGTCTCTTAAATAAATCTTATATTCTGCAGTTTCACACAGCGTCATTCTCTCACCTCAATATCTATGTAAGATCGTATTCACTCTCCCAACTTCTTTTTGTGTCTGACATACATGTGAAAACAAGCACACACACATTCATTCTATTCTTCACAACTACCAGGTATTTACTGAGTTACTTCCTATGTGCCCAGCTATGTGTTAGATATGTTTAGAGCTATCTGAGAAACAAGATTTACTTATTCCTCTCAAGAAAATGATAGTCTGACTGATAATATAATATAAAACATTATCAGGTAGTGTTACTGTGCTATATTGTGTAGTATAATTTTTATCTTTTTCCATTTTTTTGAAGT